CCTGTGCTCCACTGATGACTAAATCAAGAATTGCCTCACCTCTTGTGGGTTCCAGAACTAGCTGCTCCAAGAAGCAATCATTTAAGGTGTCAAGAAACTTTATCTCTCCTTCCTGTCCTGAGGTGACAGTGAGTCAACAGTGTGCCCTTGTTGCCAAGAAGGCTAACGGCATTTTGGACTGTATAAGTAGGGGCATTGCCAGCAGATCGAGGGACGTGATCATTCCCCTCTATTCGACATTGGTGAGGCCTCATCTGGAGTACTGTGTCCAGTTTTGGGCGCCACACTACAAGAAGGATGTGGAAAAATTGGAAAGAGTCTAGTGGAGGGCAACAAAAATGATTAGGGGGCTGGAGCACATGACTTATGAGGAGAGGCTGAGGGAACTGGGATTGTTTAGTCTGCAGAAGAAAAGAATGAGGGGGGATTTGATGGCTGCTTTCAACTACCTGAAAGGGGGTTCCAAAGAGGATGGATCTAGACTGTTCTCAGTGATACCTGATGACAGAACAAGGAGTAATGGTCTCAAGTTGCAGTGGGGGAGGTTTAGGTTGGATATTAGGAAAAACTTTTTCACTAGGAGGGTGGTGAAGCACTGGAATGGGTCACCTAGGGAGATGGTGGAATCTCCTTCCTTAGAGGTTTTTAAGGTCAGGCTTGACAGAGCCCTGGCTGGGATGATTTAGTTGGGAATTGGTCCTGCTTTGAGCAGGGGGTTGGACTAGATGACCTCCTGAGGTCCCTTCCAACCCTGATATTCTATGATTCTATGATATGTACCCAGTCAGTATGGAAATATTTGAAATCCCCCATTATTATTGAGTTTTTTATGTTTATAGCCTCTCTAATCTCCCTGAGCATTTCATCCTGGTCAGGTGGTCATTAATATATCCCTACTGCTATAATCTTATTATTAGAGCATGGAATTACTATCCATAGAGATTGTATGGTACAGCTGGGTTCATTTAAGATTTTTACTTCATTTGATTCTACGTTTTCTTTCACATGTAGAGCCACTCCCCCACCAGCACGACCTGGTCTATCCTTCCGATATATTTTGTACCCGAGTATTACTGTGTCCCATTGATTATCCTCATTCCACCAAGTTTCTGTGATGCTTATTATATCAATATCCTCATTTAATATGAGGCATTTTAGTTCACTCATCTTATTATTTAGACTTCTAGCATTTATATATAAGCACTTTAAAAACTTGTCACTTTTTAGCTGTCTACCATTACATGATGTAATTGAATGGGACTCTTTTCATTTGACTGTTTCTTATCAGATACTACCCATATTTTATCATCTTCCATCCTCTCCTCCTTACTAGGATATAGAGAATCTCCATTAATAGATCCTCCCTTAAGAAATGTCTCTGTCTGAACCACGTGCTCCTCCATACCTGTCGGCTTTCCCCCAGCCCTTAGTTTAAAAACTGCTCTATGACCTTTTTAATT